TCTTGTGTCTAGGAGGTTAGGCTTCTACCTTCATGTCATGTGTATACACACACACACACACACACACACACACACACACACACACGAGTTTATGTGTCTATTTTGTTTGCTTGTTTTGTGACAGGGCCTCTTTATGTACCCTGGCTGTCCCGAAACTTTTGTAGACCAGGCTGGCCTTGAACTCACAGAGGTTTGCCTCTCTCTGCCTCCCAAGTGTTGGGATTCAGATGCCTGCTACCATGCCCAGCTTATTTGTCTTTTTTTTTTTAAGAGTGTGTGTGTACATATGTAAAGGTGTGTGCAGGTGCCATCAGAGGCCAGAGGAGTGTGTCAGAGTTGGAGTTACAGGTTGTTTTGAGCAGGATACCACGTGGGTGCGGGGAGCCCAACTCTGGCCCTCTGAGAAAGTACCAAGAATTCTCAACTGTTGAGCTATCCTTCCAGCCCTGAGTTTATGCATCTATATAAAATCTATTATATGTAAACAGGAGTGAACATGCCATATTTGTCTTTGGGACTGACTCAATTTATCTAATATGATAATATCCAATTTAATCCATTTTTCTACAAATGACATAATTTAATTCTTTATAGCTGAATAAAATCCTGTGTGTATGTGTGTGCGTGCGCACGCGCGCGCGCGTGTGTGTGTGTGTACACAAGTGTATGGTGTATCACATTTTCTTTATTCTTTTGTTGAAGGATAATTAGGTTGGTTCTGTCACTTGGGTCTTGTGAATAGTGCTGCAGCAAACATATATGCACAAGTGTGGTACATTGACTTAGAGTCCTTCAACAGAAGTGATATGACTGTCATATGGTAGATATATTTTTAGTCTTTTGAGGTGCATAAGCTGAAATTCTTACAGGCTGGATTAGTTTGCATTTTTTATAAGCAGTATATAAAAGGGTTTATTTTTTTTTAAATTTATGTGTGTAAATGTTTTACCTGTATGTATATATGTATGTGCACCGTGTGTGTGCCTGGTGCCTGCAGAGGTCAGAAGAAGGCATTGGATTCCTTGGAACTGGAATTATGGATGGTTGTGGTTTATAATCATCTGAACCTGGGTCCTCTGCAAGAGCAACAAGTGCTTTTAGCTGAGCCATCTCTCCAGCCCCAAGGATTTATTTTTTTGCAAGAGAGCATTTTATACTCTATTAGCAGAAAGAATATTCTTGTATATACAATGTGGGTAGGGATAGAAAGCAAGTGAAACTTACTCAGACTGTTAAACTTTGTCATAATTAATAAAGTTGACTTGCACATAGATCCTAAAAGCTAGCAATTTTACTATTATATATGTATACACACACACACACACACACACACACACACACACACACACACACATATATATATAAGACAGAGAACTGACTGAACATGCGTGGCAGAGCCAGATGTATGACTGTGTAAAGACTGTATAATCAGATCACCTTAAACACCTATCTGGGAGAATGTTGCCATATATATATCTAAAGGCAGTGATTGGCACTTTAATTGAGTTGGTAGTTAATTTGGTTTTAGGGTACAGAGGGAAACACAATTAAGAATTTGTGAGGTAATGTTCCTTATCTTGGCCTGGGCTAGTTAATGCACAAGTGTTTCCATCCACATTACAGTTAGGTTTGAAACAATTTCATATTTACCAGGAATGTTGCACAAAGTACAAATAACTCATTTATACACTTTATCCAAATCTTATGTTATAGTTTATCATTTTTGCCATACCATTCTGCTGTGGGATGTCTTTATGTATGCTGTGAATATGTTTTGCTCTGATTGGTTGATAAATAAAGCTGTATGGGCCTATGGCAAGGCAGCTTAGAGGCAGGCAGAAAATCTGAGCAGAGAGACAGGAAGAAGTTGGGAGGGATGCGAGCCAGCCGCCCAAGGAGCAACATGTAATGGGATGCAGGTAAAGTCATGGAACATGTGGCGATACATAGATTAATAGTAATGGGCTAATTTAAGATGTAAGAACTAGCTAGCAAGAGGCCTTCCATAGACTATACAGTTCATAAATAATATAAGCCTCTGTGTGCTTACTTGGGTCTGAGCGGCTGTGGGACCAGGCAGGACACAGGAAAACATCTGACTACACCATTTTTTTTTTCCAGATTTTTAAACAATACTATGATTTTTATTTAAAGCAACTCTCTTGAGAACATTTAAAACTTTTGCAGATGCCCTGCCGACCAACACAACCTCATCAAGACTTCAGACTGAACGTTGCAGTGATTTCGTTGACTCTCCTCTGAAACATGGCATTTCTCCAAAACCCAAAGTGTCAAAGAAGCAGAGTTTACTTCCACATCACATAAGTCAAATATATGATGAATTATTTCATATCCATCTGAAACTGCAGGTAAAAGCCAAATGCTGAATTGGGAATTCAGAAATGTGTGTGTTTTAAGAGTGTTTGCAAAATTTCAATATAAGGAATTTGATTGGAATTATACATACACAGGTCAAAGCAGGTCAGAAGGGGCAGATTTGATTTATAGGACTGTCAAATGGGAAATGTAGTGACTGAGAGAAAATTCAAAGCAGTGGTAGCTTACCAATAGGTGTGTCTTTAGATTTTAGATTGTCTTATGTTTATTTTCAGCCCATCCCATCCTTAAGATAGAAAACAAAAAGTGCTGATATAAAGTGTGTTACATGAAGACATTATAAATTCATTGTTATAAGTACTTACTTGTAAGAAGTCTCTTGTCAAAATTCAACTCTAAGTATAAGCATTTGTGTCGTCTATGGGGTTCATATCGAAAGGGCCTACGTGCGTGTTTATCAAGTGTCTCCAAGGAAAAGGAAGCAGGACTTTATCTAGTGGAGTTTGTGTGACTCCTCATTGGAAGCCATCATACACGACCATGAAGTAGTTAAAGCATTTTATTTAGTTAAGTAATTTTAAATAACTGTATCTCTTTCTGTCACAATAATTGAAACTATGATTACCATGGCATTTAAGAATAAGATTATGCCAGGCAGTAGTGGCAAATGCCTTTTATCTCTGCCCTGGGGAGGCAGAGGCAGAGGCAGATGGATCTCTGTGAGTTCAAGGCCAACCTGGTCTACAGAGAGATTTCCAGGACAGCCAGGGCTACACAGAGAAACCCTGTCTCGAAAAACCAAACACAAAAAGAAAGAAAAGAAGAAAGAATAAGATTATTATTAGCCTAAATCACCCAAAACGTTTTGGGAAAGACTGAGTCTGGCCCTTGACTGGAGGTAGAATTTAGAAAGGAGAGCAGTGAGAATGATATTCTGAGTACAAAGGCATTGGCAAGGTGTGGTGGCACATACCTTAGGCCCAGCCCTTGGGAACAGAGGCAGGTGGGTTTCTGTGAGTTCAAGACCAGCCTGGTCCACATAGTGAGTCTCAAGACCAGTCAGGACTATGGAGTGGGACCCTGCCTCAGAAAGAAAGAGCAGAGGCAATGCTTCCAAGGAGGGACTGTTAGGTTATGAATGAAGCAGCCTCCGGAGTGAATAATAAAGCAGTAAATCTCATGCAGGCTGCCTTACAGGGGTTGAATCTAGAGAGTGAAATTTAAAAAATTATGTTTTAGTAGTGGGCATGGTAGCACAGACCTCTAATCCCAGCACACAGGAGGCAGAGGCAGGTGAATCTCTGTGAGTCGAGGCCAGCCTGGTCTACAGAGTGAGTTCCAGGACAGCTAGGGCTGTTACTCAAAAAACAAAAGCCTGTCTCAAAAACCAAAACCAAAATGGTATCTTGGGAAGTAGGGTAAAAGAAAAGCAATGATGTTATCAGCAAACAATATAAAGCCAGAAAAATGAAGTGAATGTGATTGATGTGGTTTCATTAACCTTCTGTTTTATCTGATCTTGAAATTTATACTGTACTGTTAGAATTGTCATTAGGCATATAGATTTTTGTTACATTATGGGATTTCATTAATTCAACAAACATTGTAGTGCCTACTAATATGCATTCATATGTTCAATGCTGTATATCTATGCAAGTGCATAAAATATACAGGGCCCTGCTACATGGAGCTTATTAGAAGAAATAATGCGTACCTATGTTAATACACACACACACACACACACACACACACAAAATCTCATTAGCTTGGCCCAGGCTGACCTTGAACTCACTATGTAGTTGAGGCCATCCTAGAATTCTCATCCTCCTGCCTAAGTTGGTGTGCTGGGGAGCAAGGGTACAAATTTGTGCCACCAAGCCAGGCTAATTTTATAACTTTAAATGGAAGAACAATAGAAGTATATCAGGGATATCTGATTAAGGCAGAATGGGAAGTCAGGTAAGGTTTCTCTGACATTTAAATTAAATCCTGAAGAATGAGTATTTAACACTAATTAGTGAGAGGAAATCATTCTAGATTGATCCATTTCTTGCACAAAAAGCTCTTGACTCAAGAAAAATATAAACATCTGATGATTTTTTTTATAGCAGGACAGCTACATAAGCTGCTCTGTGCTTATGTGAATTGATTGGAGGGGAGTATAGATGTGGAATTCAGGAGCCTAGATAGTACTCTACTGTAGGTCACTGGATGAGAGAGACCGTGGTGACATGGAGCAGGCTGGTGGCGGAGGAACAGAGCTGGAGAGAGTAGATACTTAGTACGGAGGTGAATGGCTAAGCTTGGTGTGCAGATCTGGAGGAAGCATAGAGGAAGTGAGACCCTCACTCAGTTCTTCCTGTCTGGTCTGCGCAGCGGGAAGGAAAGTGGATTTCAGGAGAGAAGAATTTGGTTGAGTGGGTTTGGGTTGCTCCAGCACATCAGCCAGACAGTCAAATTGATCTTGGGTAAGTGTCTAATTTGGGAGTCCTTTATGTACTCAGTTAGTACCCTGTCTCTATAACAAAGCACTTGAAACAATCAACTTAGGAAGCCAAATGAGTGTCCCACGTGGTGGTGTACATCTGGAGCTCCAGTTGTTTGGAAAGCTGAGGAACACTTGAACCCCTCCCTGAATTTGAGACCAGGCTGGGTGCCATCGGGAGCTCTGATTTCAGTTTATAACAATCACAAGTGGCTTGCTTTGGTTTGTAGGTTTGGGGGTTCTGATGTATGACTGCTCTAGTTTGCTTTCTCCTGCTGTGATAAGACACTGTGCCAGAAACAACTTGGGGAGGGGGTTTCATCTGGCTCACCTGTCCAGATCATAGTCCTCTGAAGAGGAGTCAGGACAGAAACTCAAGACAGGAACTGAAGCAGAGGCAACAGAGCAATACTATTTATTGGCTTGCTCTCCATGGCTTGCTCAGCCTACTTTTTGTTTGTTTGGTTTAGTTTTCCAAGACAGGGTTTCTCAGCGTAGCTCTGGCTGTCCTAGAACATTTTTGTAGACCAGGCTGGCCTCGAACTCAGAGATCCGCCTGCTTCTGCCTCCCCATTGCTGGGATTAATGGTGTGTGTCACCACCTGGCTATTCAGCCTGCTTTCTTATACAACCCAGCACGAATCGTCCAAGGGAGGCACTGCCCTTAGTGGGCTAGGTCCTCCCACTTTGACCATTAATCAAGAAAATGCCCCACAGACTTGCCTAAAGGTCAGTCTGATGGAGGTTTTTTTGTTTTTGTTTTTGTTTTTTTTCCCCCTGAATTGAGTTTCTTTCTTCCTAGAGGACTCTTATAAACTAAGAGTCAAAACTGACAGAAAACTAACCAGCACAGTGACTCTTGGGTCTGAACTAGAAAACTGCATTTTAAATTCATAACTCATTAATTTTTAAATGTGTTATTATCTTTAATATACTCATGGAGTTGCATACCACCCCAACGAATTTTAGAATATTTCTTCATCCCCAAAAGGCAACCACTAATCTACTTTCTGTCTCTTTAGATTTGTTCATCTGGGATATTTTACACATGCTATCCTATGTAGTATGTAGTAATTTGTTCCTGGATCCTTCCACTTAGTGTATTTTTAAAATTATTTCCTGTTGACTCATGTATCAGTCCCTGCTTTTTATTGCTAAATACTACTGTGTTATATACCACGTTTTTCTTCTTTATTCATTAATTGCTGGACATTTGGGTTGTGTCCTAGCTTCATGTCTGTAGCTGTGATAAATACTCGGGCAAAGATCAGCACAGGGGAGGGTGCTGCAACGATTTAGTGGCTTGCAATCCCAGGTTGCAGTCCAAGACAGCAGGGCAGTAGAGGCAGCAGGAACTAAAAAGCAATTAGTGATATCATATCTATAGTCAAGAGCAGATAAATGTATGTTACTCGTCTAGCTTTTTATTATATAGCTTGCCCCCTGCCAAGGGAATGGTATCACCCACAATGGGCATGCTTGCAGGCCAACCTGAACTAGGTAATTCCAAATTCCAAATTAAGACAGTCTGCCCAGGTAATTCTAGGTTGTGTCAAGTCAACAGTTAAAACTAACTAGTTATAGGTTGTTTACATTTTAGGCTATCGTGATGATGTTGCTGTGATCATTTGTGTTTAAGTTTTGTATGAACATACGCTTTCATTTCTGTTGGAATGCTAGAGTCAGATGGTAACTATGTTTAACATATTTTGAGAAACTACCAGATTGTGTTCCAGAGTAACCACACTATTTCACACTGGCAAAATCCATTTGATTAAAACAGTATCAGGGGATTAAAGTGTAAATTGCAGAATTTGTGAACTAATTAAGAAAACCCACTTAAATTGTGTGTTTTGGTAGTGTGAAACTGCATCCCAGCAGAAATTTGCTGAAGAACTTCAGAAGCGGGAACAGTTTTTAGCAGAACGAGAACAGCTGCTCTTCAGACATGAAACTGCCTTGAGCAAAATTAAAGGTGTTGAAGAAGAAGTTCAGACAAGATTTCAAATTTTAAAGGAGGTGATTATACAGCATTGGATCAGAGAGTAATTCTTTTTCTTCGCTTCATTAATGATTACATTCTTGCCATATTTGCTTATTTCACCTCTTTTCCTGCTTTTTTTGCACCCACTTATGCACACCTTATTTCCTTCTTTTTTATTGAAAATATTTTTCATATAGTATATGCTGATCATAGTTTACCTCCCTCATCTCCTCCCAGATCCTCCCTACCTCCCCACCCATCCAACTCCATGTCTTTTTTTTCTCTCTCTGTTTAGGAAACAAACAGGCAAATAAAAATAAATAGAAAAAGAAAACAGAAAACAAAGAAAAAGCATGAGAAAAACAAATACAGGAAGAGACACACACAAACACACATAACCCGTAAAAACACAAACCCAGAAACCATACTATTTAAGCAAAAGACCCGTTAGGTAGAAAATGCCCAAACAAAGCGTTGTGAGACAAAAACAATCTCTAAAAACACCATCGAGTTCATTTTGTGCTGGCCATCCCCTGCTGCTTGTGGGGCCTGCCCTTAAGTGTGGTTTGTATATCCAGTGAGACCCCATAGGAGAAAACCAACTTTCCCATTGTGGTTGGTTGACAGTTGAAGATAGCTTCTGAGTTAAGGATTAGAGCTCAGGTCCACTGACCCTCTCGGCGCTAGGATCCCATCTGGTTTGGACCTATGCAGGCCCTGTACATGCCACCACAGACTCGTAAGTTCATATGTGCATCAGTTTTGTGTCTGGAAGGCACCATTTCTTTGGTGTCTTCCATCCCACTGACTCTTAAAATCTTTCTGCCTCCTCATCCACATTGGGCCCTGAGCCCTGAGGGGAGAGATTTGATAAAGACGTCCTATTTAGGACTGAGTGTTCCAAGGTCTCTCACTCTCAGCACTTTGTCCAGTTGTGGCTCTCATTAGTTCCCATCTCCTGCAGGAGCAAGCTTCTCTGATGATGGCTGAGCAAGACACTGATCTATGAGTATAGCAGAATGTCATTATGAGTAATTTTATTGCTACATTCTTTTAACAGAACAATAGTATTTAGTTTTCCTCTAAGTCCATGGCCTGTCTAGTCCTGGGTTCTTGGCCACCTTAGCAGTGTTAGGCATAAAGTCCATCTTTTTTTTTTTAATTAATTAAAATTTTTCATTTATTTTACATCCTGATCAAAGTTTCCCCTCCCCTCCTCCTGTTCCCTCTCCACTGCCTCCCCTTTATGTCCCCTCTCCCCACCCACTCCTCCTCTATCTCCATTCAGAAAGGGGCAGGCTTCCCATGGGCATTAACAAAGCATGACACATCAAGTTGAGGCAGGGGCAAGCTCCTCCCCCTGTATCAATGCTAAGCGAGGCATCCCACCCTAGGGAGTAGGTTCCCAAAAGCCAGATTAAGTGCCAGGGAGAGGTCCCGATCCCACTGCTAGGAGCTTCATAAACAGAGCAAGCTATATAACTGTCACACACATGCAGAAGGCCTAGGTTGGTCCCCTGTAGGCTCCCTAGCTGTTGGTCCAGAGTCCGTGAGCTCCCATGAGCTCAAATCAGCTATATCTGTGGGGGTCTTTTTTGTTTTTGTTTTCTTTTAATTTTTTGTGAAGATTTGTGTTAGGATTTTGATGAGGCTTGCAGATTGCATTTAATCTGTAGGTTGCTTTTGGTAGGATGGCCATTTTTATAATATTAAACCTACTGATCTATGAGCATGGGAGATGTTTCCATCCTCTGATATCTTCTCCAGTGTCTTAAAATATTTATTATACAAGCCTTTTACTCTCTTGATTAGACTTACTCATACACACACACACACACACACACACACACACACACACACACTACCGTGTACCTATGCTTAAACACATTGATTAGAGTTTTCATGATGGAAGAATTTCTGATTTTTAGTTAATTTATGTTTAATAGCATTTGATTTATTTTTTAAATGATTTTTGAGGATTTAACTCAGGGCCTTGGGTATGTTGGGCCCTAAGCTGTTATTTAGATCAGATTTCTCCCTCTTTTAGCAACACAGCACAGAAGTCGAGCACTTAACGGAAGCACTTAAGGAAAAGAGTAAAGAGAGCAAGAGGATGAGGTCCTCATTTGATGCTCTGAGAGAGCTGAATGATAGCCTAAAAAAACAGGTAAGACCTACGTCATAAATATTAGATGCCAAGATTTAAGACTTGTATTTAGGAAATCTAAGTAAGCCTTAAAACATTTCAGCTAGAATTTTATTAAATTTGTTAGCTTTATTATAAGATTCTTGTAAACATAAATAAAATATTTATATTCTTGCTTCTTTTTCATCTATTTTGACAAATAGCTGATATATTTGGCAATTAAAAAATTAAAAATAGCTTTACCAGATTAACAGCAAGCCCAGGGACTGGAGAGATGGCTCAGTGGTTATGAGCCCTGATTGTTCTTCTAGAGGACTGGGTTTAGCTCCTAGCATCTACATGTGTAGTGAGAGGCTTTTCTATGTCCTGCCCCATCCTGCAGCAGGCTTCCAAATAATCACTCAGGGGCGTATATTAATTACAAATGCTTGACCATTAGCTCAGGCTTATTACTAACTAGCTCTGCACTTAAAATTAACCCTTCTTTTTTTTTTTTTTTAGATTTATTTATTTTATGTATGAGTGCTCTATTGACTTTATGCCAGAAGAAGGCATCAGATCCCACCATAGATGGTTGTGAGTCACCATGTGGGTGCTAGGGATTGAACCCAGGTCCTCTGGAAGAGCAGCCAGTGCTCTTAGCCACTGAGCTATCTCTCCAGCCCCAAAATTAATTCATAATTCTTACCTATGTTTAGCCATGTGGCCAGGTACCTTTTCTCAGTGCCGCATTCTCATCTTGCTTCCTCTGCATCTGGCTGGTGACTCCTGACTCTGCCCTTCCTCTTCCCCAAATTCTCCTAGTCTGGTCACCCTGCTTATTCTTCCTGCTGGGCTACTGCCCAATCAATGTTTTATTAAACCAGTTCAAGTGACAAATCTTTACAGTGTACAAGAGCATTATCCCACAGCACACATGGAGGCTCACAACTGTCTGTAACTCTAGTTTTAGGGGATCTGATGCCCTCTTTGGCCTCCATAGGTACTGCTTGCTTTTGGTGCATAGACATGTATACAGGCAAAGCACCCATTGTCTTAGGGGTTTCTATTGCTGTGAGGAGACACCAGGACCACGGCAACTCTTAGAAAGGAAAACATTTAATTGGGGCTGGCTTACAATGCAGAGTTTTAGTACATTATCATCATGGCAGGAAGCATGGTGGCATAAAGCAGACATGGTGCTGGAGAGGTAGCTGAGAGCTCTACATCTGGATACATAGGCAGCAAGAAGAGACAATGAGCCACTAGGTCTGCTTTGAGCTTCTGAGATCTCAAAGCCCACCCCCTAGTGACACACTTCCTCCAATAAGGCCACACCTACTCCAGCAAGGTCACACCTCCCAATAGTGCCACTCCCTCTGGGCTTATGGGGGCCATTTTCTTTCAAACCACCACATTCTACTCCCTGGCCCCCGGAGGCTTGTAGCCAGATCATAAGGCAAAATGCATTTAGTCCAACTTTAAAAGTCCCCATAGACTATAACAGTCTCAAACCTGTAAAAGTCCAAATTCTCTTCTGAGATTCATACAATTTTGTTTGTTTATTTATTTATTTATTGGTTTTTCGAGGCAGGGTTTCTCTGTGTAATTTTGGTTCCTGTCCTGGATCTTTCTCTGTAGACCAGGCTAGACTCAAACTCAGATCTGCCTGGCTCTGCCTCCTGAGTGCTGGGCTTAAAGGCATGTGCCACCTCCGCCCACCCCAGAATTTTCTTTAATCTGTTTATCTCTATGAACACAGGAGTTAGCTCCATTCCAGTTCCTAGTGCCTCCTTTCTCCTTGAATTGTACATTTTGTATTTTTCCTTGCTCAGCTTGCTCCTTTTCATTATGGATATTCATAAGAGTGAACATAAATAACCACACAACAGAGTCAATACTCGGCTGTTTTGAAATTTCCTCTGCCAACATAATTAATCCAGAACTCTTCAGTTTAACTTCAGGCATACTTTTCAGATAAGAGCAAAAAGCAGCCACATTTTTAGCCAAAATATCACAAGAATGGTCTCTAGGCCACATACAAATATTCTTCTCTGAAACTTCTTGAGCCAGGCCCCCACAGTTCATATCACCCTCAACACCTCTGACTTTCATGCTTCCACTAGTATGGCCCATTAAAGCATTCAACTGCTTTTCTAATCTAAAATCCCAAAGTCCACATTCCTCCAAACTAAAGCATGGTCAGGTCTGTCACAGCAATACCCCAGTCCCAGGTACCAACTTCTGTCTTAGTTAGGGTTTTATTGCTGTGAAGAGACACCATGACTATGGCAACTCTTATAAAGGAATACATTTAATTGGGGCTGGCTTACAGTTCAGAGGTTTAGTCCATTATTATCATGGCAGGAAGCATGGCGTCACACAGGCAGACATGGTGCTGGAGAGGTAGCTGAGAGTTCTATATCTTGATCAGCAGGCAGCAGGAAGAAACTGAGCCAGTAGATGGGGCTTGAGCATCTGGGACCTCAAAGCCCACCGACTAGTGACACACTCCCTCCAGCAAGGCCACATCTCCTCATAGTGCCATTCCTATTGGCCTATGGGGGCCATTGTCTTTCAAACCATCACACCTGGGTACTTATTTTTTTCTTTTTTTTACCAAGAAAAAACTTGGCAATTTGAGAACAGATCAACTTTTAGACATTGATTTAGGCTTAAATACTTACTATAACTGTATACTACTACTAATTTAAACCAAGTATTTACTAAATGTTGGGCACTGTGCTAGACGTAAGCCTTTTTGCTCATACTCTTTCTTGTGTATAAAAATGGTCCTATATTGTACAATAACACATATATGAGTTGTAATTATGTCGATACATAATCCTAAAATTGCTTAGGAGAAACGTTTTTGTGAGTTATACCTTTTTTTCTTCCTTCTGTTAATTTTTTCCCTAAAAAGTGAAAATGAGGGCATATGGGTGAAGACAGAGAAAAGGCTGATTATGTGTATTGGCTTAGTTAGGGTTTCTGTTGTTGTGATTAAACACCAAGACCAAAAGCAACTTGGGAACGAAAGCATTTATTTTATCTTACAGTAGTAGTTTTATGCTGTAGTCTAGCATAATGGGAAGTCAGGGCAGGAACTGGCGGCAGAAGCTGAAGCAGAGGTCGTGGAGGAGTGCTGCTTACCAGCTTGGTCTCCATGTCCTGCTCAGCCTGTTTTCTTAGACTGTCCAGGACCATCTCCCAAGGGTGGCATTGCCCCCAGCAAACTGGGTCCTCCTCACATGTCAATCACTGATCAAGAAAATGCCCCACAACTTACCTGCAGGCCAATCTATAGAGCCATTTTCTCAGTAAGGCTTCCCATTTCCCAGGTAAGTCTTGACTTGTATCAAGTTGACAAAACCAACCAGCACATGTATATTGATTGGGAAGAAGTAGATGGAAAGAGACTGAGATAAACCTAGGAACGTGCTGGGCATGGTGGTGCCCATGAGTCCCAGCACACTAAGGACAAAATGAAACAGAACTTAGTCACTTTAAAGCAGAGGGCTGAGAAACTGTCTGGATTTCTTTCTTTCATTCATTCATTCATTCATTCATTCATTCATTCATTCATTCACTCATTCATTCACTTAGTTTTGAGACAGGGTTTCATTGTATCTCTGGCTGGCCTAGACCTTGCTGTGTAGGCCAGGATGGCCTCAAACTCTTGGAGACCCACCTGTCTTTGCTTCCTGAGTGCTAGGATTAAAAAAAAATGATGCCTTTAAATTTAATATGCTCAATAAAGCAGAAAAAAGGAGATTGAGAACTTCCTTAAAGTGTGGATCACGGGACAGGCGACGTGGCTCTGTTGAAGGTGCTTGCTTCCAAGCCCAAAGACCTGAGCTTGATCCTAAGACCCACATGTGGAATGAGAACCAGCTCCTACAAGTTGCCCTCTGACCTCCACATCTGTGCTCCCTACTATACAGCAAATAAGTAAAAGTAATTTTTAAAAATATGGACTATAAAAAGGAAGTAAATTGAAATTCTAAAACTTTAAAGAACAATTGTAGTTAAGAACTTCTGCCTAAAAAGTGAATATGAATGTTGAGAGTGCTTGCCAAGTATTCTCAAGGTCCTAGATTTCATTATTAGGGAATTGGGAGGGAAATTAAAAACAAAAAAGAATAGTTATAAGAACAGGTGAGAAGCAGCAGAAGGTATGGTTAGTGAGTTGGAGCACAGTTTATTAAGAAGTTTCCAATTTGAAGCATTGGATGAAGAAAGAATGAACAATTCAGAAAAGACTCATGTGGGATTTAGCTTGCTTTCTAGTGCGGTGATCAAACATTGACCACAAGTAGCCTGGGGAGGAAAGGTTTATTTCATCTTACAACTCTCAGGTCACACTCTATCACTGATAAACATCAGGTTCAAAAGTCAAGCTGGAACAGGGGCCAGGAACAAGGGGAGACATAGGTGCTGGCTGTGGGAGAGCGAGAGAGGTGTCCTTAAGTGCCTTAACAATAGCCATATACACAGTTTTGGTGGCTTTTGAAATTCAATTGATCTTAGAGCTCCTAAGAAACTTTCTTTTTTAGTAAAAGAGACCATAGGTGTTTCCTGAGGAGCACTGGATGGGATTGCAGGCTGATAAGATAAAAATAGTCTCAAGAACTACAAGGAAGTTAAGGCATACTTTAAAAAAAGATTTCTTTGTTTTAATTTTGTGTGCATGGGTGTTTTTCATGTGGTCTGTGCACTCTGTGCATGCAATGCCCAAGAAGACCAGAAGATGGCGTTGGATACTCTGGAACTGGTGTTACAGACAGTTGTTAGCTGCCCTGTTGGGAACTGAGCTCAGGTCCTCTGTAAGAACAACAACGACTAAAAAACAAGCAACCACCGCAGCACCAAAAAATAAGAACAACAATAATCTTGAGAGGTTCTCAGGAAGTTCGGTTTATGGTAGGAAAAGAGTGTTAGTCAAAGGTCATCAGTGCTTTGGCCTTAAGCATGGTTCACTGCTACTTTAATTTATATAGCTCTATAAAATGAATATCGTTTCTGTGCCAGCAATCTGCACAGCAAATGTTAGCTGTATCAACAGTTTTGACTCTGAGCTAGCGAGAGCTTCAACCAGACTCTAAATTAGGGTTTCCTCTCTGTTATCATCACCCTTACTTTTGTCTGTCCTTTCTGCCTCAGTTTTCCTGTCAGACTTTATCCCCTTAATCTTAAGGGCTACTGATGGCCAAAGGTTCATTTTCTGGAACTTGTGCACTGCTGGATAGGGATATCGACCTCTCTATTTTGTGATGGTAGCGCTCTACTTGCCTGATCTAAGAGAGCAAAAGAAGCCTGAGGATCTTCAAAATGAATGGAATAGTAATCTAGAAAAGAGGATGTGTCCTGTGATGACAACACTTATAAACAGGAGGCCTGCAGCAGATTGTTATGAATAATTTAGGAATTACTAATAGGTTTTCTGTAGCCCAAGAATAGGTTTCTCTGCCAACGCAGTAAGCTAGATCAAGCCGAATTGAAAAAGTAAAAGAACAGGTTTATTTGAGCAAAGCAATTCCTGGGTTAGTTCTCCAGTCCCAGAGATTGAGGCAGGAGAAGTCAGGTGCCCAAACTAGAGCACGAGCTTATATACCCCGTAGGCGAGGGGTGGTGACGTGTCTTCCACAAGCTGGGTTTGTGTCGGAGTGTGGTCAAAGACTGAACACGTTAGGTGGGGACTTGGGCTGTGAGCAACTTCAGGGGAGGAGCTGCCGCAGCTGCCAGGAATGAGGAACTGGGCTTTTGGCATCTCTTCTTTGTTGGAGAGTCTCTGAGAGGTTTGGAGAGAGACAGAGAGATGGGGCTTCCCAGACCATGCAGGAGAGCTGGAGGTTCCAGTCGAACTATTACTACCAAAAAAAAAAAATAGTGGAGCTTTTTTGTACTGTGAGGTGCTTGGAAACCCTATGTTATAAAGCATTAAAGCTTCTGGGAATGTAGCTCAGTGGTAGAGCATCTGTCCAGAATCACAGACACCCCCCCACCCCAAAAGGGGCTGGGGAGATGGCTCAGTGGGTAAGAGCACTGGCTGCTCTTCCAGAGGACTCAGGTTCAATTCCCAGCACCCACATGGCAGCTCACAACTGTCTGTAACTCCAGTTCCAGGGGACCCAACACCCTCACACAGACAGACATACATGCAGACAAAATACCAGTGCACATAAAATAAAAATAAATTAATGTAGAAAAAAGCAAACTGGGGAGGAAAGGGTTTTCTTGGCTTGTGTTTCCACATCACTGTTCACCACTGAAGGAAGTCAGGACAGGAACTCAAACAGTTAGGAACCTGGAGGCAGGAGCTGATGCAGAGGCCATGGAAGGGTGCTGCTTACTGGCTTGTTCCCCATGTTTTGCTCAGCCTGCTTTCTTATAGAACCCAGGACCACCAGTCCAGGCTCAGCATCACCTACAATAGGCTGGGTTTTCCCCCATCCATCACTAATTAAGAAAATGCCCTACAGACTTGCCTGTAGCCCAATCTTGCAGAGATATTTTCTCAGTTGAGACTTCCTCCTCTCAGATGACTTTAGTTTGTGTCACATTGACATAAAGCCGGCCAGTGCAAGGTCCATAAAAATTATACTTCCAAAACATTTCCCATTAGGCTTTTCAGATCTTAGGCATTATCTTTGTTACTTTTCCTGTTGCTGTGATAAAATACCTAACAAAGACAGCCAAAAGGAGGAAGATGTGTTTTGGCTCACAGTTCAAGGATACGGTCGGTCCATCAGGGTAGGAAAGTCTTGTGGCAGGAGCTTGAGGAGGCGGCTGATGACCTTGCATCTGTAATCAAGAAGCAGTGAGCAATGAGTGCCTGTGCTCAGCTAGCATCTGCTTTTAATGTAGTCTAGGACCCAAGCTCTCAGAAGAGTAGGGCTTCCCACCCCATTTAACCCAATCAAGAGACTCCATCGGAGGCATGCCAGAAGGCTCGTGTGGATGATTACAGATTGTTGATAGTCAATACTAGCCATCATAGGAGTTTTGCAAATTTTTCATAAAATGTAAAATTTCCTAGATACTGTTAATGTTTTAGAATGAAATGGGGATTTTTGGCTGTTTTGTTATACTGCTCAGTTAAGTATCTGGTAAGATTAGATAGTATATTGAAAAATCCTTCATATCAAAATAGTTTAAAATGTCTGTTGAAATATGTAATTTTCCCCTTCCTTAGCTAAATGAAGTAAGTGAAGAAAACAGGAAGATGGAGATTCAGGCCAAAAGAGTTCAAGCTCGTTTAGATAACCTACAGGTAAGTTGTCTGCTTTTCTTCCATGAGTTTTTGTTTTTATAATTTTTTTAGGGCATATGTGTGTGTGTGAGTGACTGTATGCCATGAGTGTGCAGTTGTACAAAGAGGCCAGAAGAGGGTATTGGAGTTCCTGGAGCTGGAATTGCAGGCAGCTGTGAACTTCCCAACTGATGTCTGTTTTCCAAGAGCAGTACCTCCTCTTAACTGCTGAGACACCTCTTTAGTCCCCATCATAATTTT